TTTTTCCAGACTGGGCTCAGGCTTTCTCAAAAAAGCCTAATCCGAGCTTGAGCCAAACTTGATAATATGTTATATAATAAAAAATATATTTTATATAATAAAAATAAATATAATATGTTATTTTCTTTGTTTCTCTTTTCTTTTTCAAGCTATAATAAGATTTTTTCATTATTTTTGGGTTTTGAGGTTTCTTAATATAAATTAGTTTTTTATTGAGTAAAAAAAGAAAAAAATTTCCCAATTTTCTAATTGGGCTTCAAACTTTATATGAGGACTGGGCTTGGGCTCAACGCCAGCCTGATATGATTATGTTTTTTAAATATTTTTTTATAGAAAGAAATTGTGTTTTCTAAATATAGGGTAAATTGCTAAAATCTCCCTTGAAGTTTCTGCCCGACCCGTTGCTGAAACCTTCCCTAAAGTTTTATAATTGCAATCACTAGACCAAGCCCTTCCAATTTCTTTCTGAAATTCAATTATTTTCTATCAATTACCTGCAATTGTGTAAATTTCAGAGGAGATTTTAGCAATTTACCCTTAAGGCCCTATTTGCTTTTCGGTTAGTTACTTACTTGGGTAAATGTAGTTACCTGGGTAAGTTTTTCCTAGGAAATTTTCCTAGGAAATACTTACCTGGGTAAGTGCATTTACCCATGTTCTTTTATTTCTCATGTAAATAAGGCAATGATCATTTTAGCCATAAAAATCCATTATTAATTCAAGTGTTGACAACTTTCTCCCTAGGTGGAAAAATTATTTGCCCACTTACGAGATGGGTATCACTTACCCAGGTAAGTGGTACCTAGGAAAATAAATTTTTTCTGGTCCCCACATAAATCTGAAAAAACAACATGTAATTCTTGGTCAATAAAAACCAAAATCCCATTGACCAACTTTCCCCTCTCAAAATCTGAAAAAAGAATGCTCCCTAAATATATATTTTCTTTAGCCTAATGGTGATAATGAATGGATCATGGATATGGAGCATATACAATTTTGTAGCCGGACTGGCCTGGCCATGGTTTTTAAAAATGAACTGGTGACCGAACCAGTCAAGATGGTCCGACCGTTCAACCCGAACGACTAACTTGTTCTGACAAAAAAATTAAAAAATTGGAAAACGATTAAAACGTTTCGAAAGGTTCAAATGGTTAACTGGATGATTCAGCGGTTTGCTGACCAAAACCAACGGTTTTAGAGGAAAAAACGATTTTAGAGGAAAACAGAACCGATCAGATGACCAGTTCCTAGTTTTCCGGTCCAACCATCCGATCCGATCCGGTTTTGAAAACAGTGGGCCTGGCTATTAGCCACAAGTCTGGATATTCTAGAGTTCATTGGGGGGTTTTGATCGGTCAAAACTCAAATGTGATAATGAATGGATCATGGATTATGATACCAGAGGAGCTTATTTGATCAATCAGAACTCCGTGAATTATTTTAATTTGATGAATTTTCATTGCTTTGTTTACGCCTCAATATAAGGTGTTAAGTGCAGAAATCTGTGCTAAAGACCAACAACTTGTTACACAAAGACAAATCCAGTTAAGTGTTCTTTGTAATTCTGGTGTAACAAAGATGGAGACAGACTAATAAACTCCAACAGTAACGTCCAAAAGAAAGAAAATAAAACTAAGTCTCAACTGTAACGAGATAATTTTGGGTTCAAATGGTAGTTCAGCCGTTGACGCAAGGGAAAAGATTGGATGGTTTCGTGGGGCAAGCCCCAAGCGCTTACACGTTGTTGCTTGAATGATCTGGATTATATCATCATTTCAAGAAAACTTTGGCCGTCCACACTCCACAGGATTCTTATTCCCGTGTGACACATTAGAGATTATACAAATTAATTTGGGACAAGTATAGTGTTGGATGCGTAAAAAAATTTTGGCTGTTGGAGTCCAACACTCTACTTATTCCGTAATGTTGGATGTGGGGGCAAAAGGGTAATTGCATTCAATACTTTTTTGACCAAAAAGATAAAAAGGGGTTTGAATGGGTTGACGTGTTATATAGAAAAAAAATCTTCAGCCCGGTCTGTCGCGCCCCAACAGCCAAAGTATTCATTGTAAATATAACTAATGTATCATGCAGAGGGAGAACCCAGATGAGAATGGTGGTAATTAGGAAAAATGGAAATTTATACGATCCACCTTGGCTCCATAAACTCATAGGGCTGCAAATTAAATGGTATCAGAATGTTCAAATTTGAACTTAATCCCATTTTGGGCTATCCTAATTCGATCTGTTTATAATTGGATTGAATACCTCAATCTCATGGAATAAATTTTGACTTATTTTAAATATATATACACATATATACTTAAAATTTATATTTAATACTATTCAATATCTGATTGCAATCCAAATTCGATTTGAATCCAATATAAATGGGAAGGACATGATCTCATTTGAATTCAAATATAAATGAATCAAATTTTGATCTAATTATATTGATTTTAATCCATTTTCACCCCTAAAGACTCGTGGCCTCTAAAGTTGCATTTGTCATTCCTTATTTTAAGGACTTATCTCCTTTTTGCAGTTAAATTACCCTTATGAATTATGAACACTGAGTTTTTAACAGCAAAAAAAAGATAAATCCTTAAAATAAGAAATGACAAATGCAGTCTAAGACTACTCTAACTCAGCCTAAGACTATTCCAACAAAACCTTGGCCATCCAAAAGAGTAGCACATGCAACTCAAACCTGTTTGATTGCATGTAAAATAAAAGAAATGACTTTTTATCTTTTTTTTTTCTCATTTTTTAATCAAGAAAAAGTGCCATTTTTCTTTTTTTTTTTCCTTCGAATCAAGAAAAAAAAAAAAGAATGTTTGTAAAAGGAATGCCATCTCTTCACATTTCATAAAGTAATTATTTCTAATGGCCATGTTACATGTAACCACCGTAAAATAACAATTTTGAAAAAATCATCTGCTTTCTATTTCATTTTAGGCAAAAATCTATGATGCATCCACTGCATCGTGGAGGAAAAGTCATGGACCAATGATATTTTTTGTTCAAGTCTTTTTAAAAAGTATAACATTTTAACATGATTGTTTGAGATTTGGATTTAACGTACAACCATATAATTACTAGTTGAAATCTTCATTTTTATGGCCAATCTATATTATTTCATGGGTTTGTTTTCTTATTAGAACAGTGTTTGGCAATGTATAATATTTCTTTTAGAGAAAAACAATTATCTATTGTATCAGTTTGTTTAATAAATATAAAAATAAAAATCGTAAAGAGTTATATAAAATAGATAGATTTAAGTTTGTTAACATTTTCTGCTATTTGATGCATATATGTACAAAAGATGAATTAAACTATTTTTTTTTAATATGATGACGGAAATTTACAGTGGTCTTGATTGGTCAAAGCCTTTATGGTATCATATTTTTCCAGTATCATAGATTTTTTCCTTAATTAATAATGCATCTTATTAACATCTTGACTAAGAACCCCATGTTCTTTTTTCAGATTTATGTGGGGACCAGGGAAAGTTTATTTTCCTAGCTATCACTTATCCGAGTAAGTGATACCCATCCCCTAGGTGGGTAAATAACTTTCTCACCTAGAGGGAAATAAAAGAACATGGATAAATGCACCTGGAGAAATGTTTCATAGTAAAAACTTATTTAGGTAATTGCATTTACTTGGATAAATAACTTACAGAAAAGTGAACAAGGCCTAATAGGCAAATAAAGACAAAAGAGATTAATACAACAATGGAGAAAATCAAGAACATACTGAATAAATTTAACATGATTCGGCCTTATACCTACGTCCAGATGTTCAACCTCTCACAAATTAACTGAGAGGCCTCTCAATTTGCCTTTGTCAAAAAGTGTTAGAATAGGATACCCACATACATATAAGTCAGGCCCTTGACAAAATTAATATAAACATGCACATTATTTTTTATGCCAAATATAAATATATCTATATTCGAGCCCAATTTGCAGGCTTGATTAATAAACAGGCCGAGCTTGAGCCTAATAAAGTTTGGCTTGTGAGCCGAGCTCAAATATATATTATATTATAATTATAGAAAATAATATATATAATAAAAATATTCTAATTTTTAATTATTTACATATCAAATAAAAAATATTTTTTATTTTTATAAAACATTTTTTTTTTCAAATCGAGCTCAAGCTGAATTGAGCTTGAACTTATAAGTTTTGACTCGAGCCAACTTCGAATTCAAGGTTCTAGCTCGAGCCTTGTACTACCTTGGCAAAACGAGTTCGAACCTCGTACTATTTAGCTTAACTCAGCTCGAATCCACCCCTAATTGAGAACCACAAAAAATTCAAATCACACCACAACAAAGACAAAGAATAGAGTTTTATTCTAATATCACCCATATTAAAATGTGTTCCACCTGCAGTGAATTACTCTCTAGTGCTTTAATTTCATTGTGATCCCAACACAGACGTTTCAAAGGAATCTTATATCACATCGTCAAGATTAACTGATGCATTTTCCACAATACATCCAGATGATACACGTTAGTGGAAAAGAACTTTTCTCTTTAAAAGGAACGAAAGTTCTCTTACGTTAGTGTGTCAAATCGTTTTTTCTCTTATACAATTCATATTTTAGATGAATTCACGTCAGCGCCCCACAATTCTAACGTAGAAGATGTTCCCAGATCGATCGGCATGTACTGTGAGGCATTATGAGGCATTAGACTGCGGGAGTCCATGAAAGATGAGAGCTACAATTACGAATTTAACTCTGCTGGAAATATTCAACATTTTCCTTAGTCAACATGGAAATATCCATCACCTTTCTGCGTCGACCAGACTAGTTCAATAATAATCAATTCTCTCCACATGAAAATTAATTATTATAATTGAATTTATTCTTCAATTCACGAGGTATATTTAGAACCCTTACCTCCATGCATTCCTCCACAGTCCACACCTTTTTCTCTATATATATTAATTTCGTCTCTCACCTGTTTGGTGCTGTGTTTCCCAAAAATGTCTCACATACATCAATCAGACTTGGAGAGAATATTTGTGGCACTGGACCTCAATGGCGACGGTCGAGTTTGCATTGGTGAACTAACATGGTTCCTTGACAAGGTTGGTGTCCACATAGGCCTAGACGAGCTTGAAGAGATTGTAGGAGGAAGGAGCCTGGGCTTACAAGAATTCATACACCTCTACAATCAGTCAATATCTAAGCCGGCCGAGGAGGACGAGGAGGAAGACACAGACTTGGTCGAGGCCTTCAAGGTGTTCGACCTGAATAATGACGGGTTCATTTCCTGCGAGGAGCTGCAGAGCCTGCTGGCGAGGCTGGGGCTTTGGTCGGAGAGTTATGGGGATTGCAGGCAACTCATTGGCAAGTTTGACACAAATTTGGATGGAAGGATTGATTTCGAGGAGTTCAAGAACATGATGCTCCTCTCCATTTCATGATAGGAAACTTAGGGCCTGTTTTGTGCGTTTTTTCTGTACAGTCTTTCATCTGTTTATAAGTCAGGTAGACCAATTTTCAGTCTATTCTCATTTGGTTGCAGAAGATTTAGTCTTCAAAAGCTAGAGCGTCGAAAACATGCAAGAAGCCCATTTTGGCCTGATTTTGAGAAGCTCCAAATGAAGCTTTGCGCATTTTATTCTCACGCGGAAAAACATGGAAAGACATGTATACGCCAAACTAGATCTTTGTTGCTTATATCTTCGTGCAAAAGCTTAATGTGTCTTTTGGCTGTCAGAACTACTAGAAGATCTTCCCAAAAAAGACTTGCCAAACAGGCCCTTACTTATGAAGCTTAGATATGTGGTTTGTTTCTCTTGGTGATATGGCAATCAGGGGTGTAAATGGTATCTAAAAATCATTTGAGATTTGACGTAATGAAATTGAACTTGGATGATTGTAATATGGTAATCAGTTGAATTCAGGTATAAAATATATATTGAATATTGCCTGACCCAATAAATATTTGAACTTATTATAGAATTAATTTAGGGTAAATTTTTAAAGTACCCTTATGGTTTAGGAAATTGACTAACTTTATCCTTACTATTTACATATTATCTTAAAGTATTCCTAAATTTCTTGACAATTGACATAGTTCGTTAAGCACTAATGGAGAACCTTACTGTTTTCATCTCTTTTTGGTTGGAAAATTGAGACAATCAAAATTTCGTGAGAAAAAATAGAATAGAGGGCCTGCATGATACAAAGAGCTTTGTTTTTGGGCTTCGACAACTGGAGGTAAAAAAGGGTCTTGTCGGGGATAGCTCTTGTAAGGCATGAAGCCCTTGGACTATAGGCCCATTCCTACAAGAAATCATTTGAATTCCATTGTATTATCATTCGAACTTTAAATTAATATTGAAAAATCAAGGAACAGTTTGACAGTATTTTAGGAATTTTTTAAAATATATCAGCCACATGATGTCACATGTAAACTGAGTGACGGAAAATTAATGATAAGGGAGGTTTTAGATAATTGTCAAAAAACTTAAGGGTACTTTAAAATAATATATAAACAATAAGAGTAGAGTTAGTCAATTTATTAAATCATAGGGGCATTATAAGAAATATGCCTATTAATATATACATAAAATTCCTTAAATACCCTTTATTTTTTTCTTATCAAATTATTTTACAGGTTATTTTTTATTTATAATGGGTGTAATAGTCGATCTAACACTCGAATTAATTGTTCAAATTCAAATATTTAAGGGTGTTTGACAACATGGTTGGTCTTTGTTTTTGAAAACAATAACAACTGCTACATTAGCAAATGATGTGAAGGTTGTTTTGGTTTTCAAAAACAAAACCAACACACGTCGTAGAAAACCCCCTTGAATATTCAATAAAATTCAAATTTGATTGACAACCTTTTTAAGGATCCATCGCATATCAAATCGAATTCGAATCATATTATTTATTTTACAATGGAAACTTAGACGAATTTACATATTACATTGTTTTATTATATGTAAATGGGATTTTTTTGGACTTATAAACAGGATAAGATTAGAATGATCAATGTTATAAACTTTATTACTCTTTTTCTCTCTCTCTCTATAATGACAATTTTCTCCATTCCCTCCGGATACCCAACCTCCCTGACCCGATGGGGTTGGGGATAGGGGTGGAGAATGAAACCCTCACCCTACTCTGACCCGAATCCCATATATATATATATATATATATTAACTATTATTTATTATATATCAAAATGTGTTTAAAATTTTATTTTATTTTAAGTAAATTTATTTCAAAAAATTCTGTTAATTAAAATAAATTTGAGGATTAGTCCCGACACCTATTTCCATTGCGGATCGAGGATATAGGACAATTTTTAGATCAGGGTCGGAAGGGAGATTTATCTCTAAATTAGGGTGAGGAACACGTTGCCATTCCTATGACTCACTCTCAGAAGAAATTCAGAATCAAGTTTTGCATGCTTCTGGGACAAACACATTAAAAAGGAAAAGCCAAATCAGGAGCAACTATCTATTATAAAAGTGAAGAGTCAAAGTCCTGCAGAAAATGATATCGTTTGAACTAGTTGAGAGTAAAGAATTGTTTGCTGGCTACGTGCCCGTGGTTCACCCTCCTTAGTCCTTTCCCAATTCTCATTTCCCACCATGCATTAAAATATGATTCACTCAGTTTCTGTAGACGTTCTCAATTTTATAGGTAGTCGGCTCACACTCACAGAAACTCTCTCTGTGGATTGGTTTCGATCGGTCGTCAAATGAGAACTTCGTGGAAGGACCCAAGGACGTGTTTGACGATCCTTTAGAATTTTATTTCTGCCCTTCGTGGAAGGAGAGAGGGCTACTTCGGAGTTCGGACGATGGATAATGAAGCCGTGTCAACGATGATTCAACGGATCGGATTGAATCAAATTTAGATATGGGCATTATCTGTATCCGATTCGATAAGAATTGGCGATGATTCTACACGCACAATTTTATTGGGCTTAAAGTGTGAATAAACAAAGATTCATCTATAATTTTTTGCTAAAATTTAATAAGGTTTGATATTATCTTAAGGAATTATTTAACTTAAAAACTTAAAATGTTAATTGAGGTTTTTAAATAAGTTTTATTCATTAATAATATATATACATATTAAGTTTATCTAAATCCTAAATTTCACTTAGTCTCAGTTTGAAAAAAAAAAGTACAAACACAAATATGTAAAGTACAAAACCTTATATTTTGTATTATTTTGTACATGGTTTTTAAAATCGATCTGGAGACCGAATTGGTTAGGGGTTCAGTTATTGGGTCAAATGGTCCGACCGTTCAAACCGAACGATCGGCCCGTTCTAACAAGAAAATAAAAAAATTTAAAATTGGTCAAAACCGTTCAAACGATTAACCATCCGAGTCAGTGGTTTGCTGACCAAAATCAACAGTTTTGAAGAAAACCAAAACTAATCACCTGACCAGTTCCCGTTTTTCTGGTCTAACTGTCCAATCCGGTTCAGTTTTGAAAACAATGCTTTTGTATGTATTTATAATATATTTGTACTCTTTTTTTCGAAACTGAGTCATAATTCCACAAAAGTTTAAATTAAATTTTAGAAAGGGTCTTTTATATATTTGTTGTGTGTGTCATATATAGTTTTGATGGGATTAATAAACAGATTATCCAATTTTGATCTGATTATGACTGAACAACATCCGAATTCAAGAGAGTGACATCCGATTCAAATTTGATTCGGGTTAAATTTAATTAGTCTTCTACAGCCTTATGAGTCGGTGAGTTGCTTGGTCCTTCCCTGCGGAGGTGAACTTGAGCATGCATTTGTTCAATGAGTTGCTTGGGCTCATTTAGCTCGGATTTTAGATAGCAGGTTCATTTCCAACAAAGACAAGTGTTTGAAAACCCTAAAACGAAGGCCCAAACTTTAACATCCAAAATACATATAAAAATATTTTGCCATAAATTTATGGCATTTAGACTTATATATGTTTCTTCTTATTTTTAAATGAAATAATTAAAAGTATAACAAGGCAAAATTAAAAACTACCATGAGTCTTCTTTGTCTCTCATAAAATCTATATTTACTCTCTAATAAGACCATTCTTCTCTCTCTCTCACTTTAATAGTCAATGTTTGTAACATCTCCCCTCCCTATTGAATCTATATTTTTCTCTTAAATCTCTTTTAATCCCTTTTGTCTTTCTCTAATAAAGTAGGGGTGTAAATTAAATGGATTGGGTTAGGCTAAGGGTCAACCTAAATACAAACCCTAGCTTGGTCCCAAACTAATGCCAAAGCCCAAATTTTCCCACTAGTAAATGGGGTGAACCAATTTTCGTTTTATATAAAAGTCTAAAGAAACCATTTCTCCTTCCAAGGTTCAAATTTTCGATACAATACGCCCTTTATCAGGTAACATATCATATCAATAGCTACTCGAAACCCCAAATAAGGGGTGTTTCGAAATTTGGGCACTTTTAGGGGGTAGGCAAGCCTAAAACTGATCCCCTGAAACATTTTTGAAAAAAAAAAACTCAAAAAGAAGTTATGAAGTATCGAAACACCTGATATGCCTATTCAAGCATATCAATACTTTAAACCTTGCTCTTTCCATGGATTATTAGTTTTTCTCTATTTTTAATACTTTAATATAGATTTATTTCATAAATTCTTTTGGTTCAACAATAAAATGCAGTAAGAAAACATTTAACATGAGCCTTTGGTTATCTTATCAGTTCAATTTTGAAATTGTTTTTTAACTTGGTTATTGGTCTCATGTTAAGCACATTTTTTGACTTTATAAGACCACACAACCATAGAGGGTAGCCCATCTCCCAAACCTTAACCCCCCTAACCTTAATGGCAATGGAATTTGATCCCAAGTCTTTGCTATAAGTAACTAAAGAACCTATCAACTAAGCCACCATCAATTGGTTCTCATACTAAGTAGTTGATTTATGTACTTCTCATTACATAGGCTTAATTTGAAAGGAGTGCAAATGCAAACTTGTAGAATACAAATACATACAAAATAATATAAAATATAAGGTTTTACACTCTACAAATTTACATTTATACGCCTTCCAAACTGAGTCATAAGTATGTGAAATATTCTCAATGTGTAAGTGGATGCCATGCTCTTAGGGTATTCACATGATTTTCACTTTCAGGAGATGTGGGCTCGAATCTATTAGTCAGTTATTTAGTACAGAAGGCAAAGTAGCCGATGAATCTCTTACATGACAAATTAGTTTCAGCCCTTTAGGTTCTGTTTGGGAAGTACAAATTTGTTGGGTCCAAACCCTGTATATAGTCCATATTTACATTTCTAAACCTTGTATACTTGTGCTGAACATATTTATATATTTACACTCTTCCCAAACAGAGCCTTACAAACATTTTTTTCCTCTTGGTCATCCTTTATTATGGTGCAAGTATGAAACCGAAAACCCTTGTTGCATGC